TCACAGGTTGCTTTCGCTGCGAGGGGTGCCGTAGGTTACGGTCTTCAATTTGTAGATGCGGATCGGTTCTGATAGTGAAGGACGCCAGAATATCAAATGAAATCGGCAGTCTCTGGGAAACAAAACCATTTGCCGGTACATTTTGGCGACGTCAGCAGTCATCATGATAGGATGCAGGCGAGATCGCATCGTTATGGACCGCAAATCTTCTTGAACAATTGGACCCACTAGCATAGCGTCGTTCAGGGAAATTCCGGTTGAGCTCTTGCAAGAAGCATCGAAGACGACACGCACCTTGTTTGTACTGCTCTCCTCGCGAATGACTGGATGATGTGGAAGGAAGTATGCAGGCCCTGACGCTGCATCTGATTCATCGATACGCTCCATGTGTCCCAACTTTTCGTACCGTCCATTCTCGCAGCGACGAGTAGTTTCGCTGAAGAATTTCTCACAGTAGGCTTCGGATGCAGAGTGGACGACCGTTGAATCGTCCTCGATGGCCCAAAATCGCTCCATGTCACGATGGATGTCGGCATTGGTAGCGACGTTGCAGACTTCGGAAGATCTTGAATGTTGTTCAGGAGTTTTGCCGCTGATAATCCAACCGAAAACCGAATTAACCAGACACGAAAGAGATTCGCCCAAATTAATTCGACCAGCAACATTGAAGAGATCGAAGAATACCTCGGCCCCTAACACCACATCAATGACTCCGGACTGGTAGAATGACGGATCAGCTAACTGGATTCCTGTCGGAAGCGACCAACTCGACGCATCGACGGAGATTGAAGGCAGATCTACGGTGACCTTGGGAAGAACGAAGGCGTCGATGGTGGTGGAAAACTTGGATATTCGAGACTTCACTATCGAGCGGAATATGCAGCGGACTTCGGTAGACGCTTGACCAATCCCTGCGATCGGAAGATTCACCTTATGTCGCCGAACCTTCATGTGTTGCACCACTCGTTCTGATACAAAGCAACATTCGCTGCCCGAATCCAACAAAGCTCGCACTGGATGCTCGTTGCCACTATCGTCCACCATGATGATGATCGCTGTGGCTAATAGTACCCTGCTCCTGGTTCCGTCTTGCGTTGTACAGCTCGAAATGCCAGTATGCGCTGCTGGCGTGGCTGACATCGGTCTGCTACTACTGCCCGCCTGGCCGGAAGCACTAGATTGGGCCGACTGGTTGATTGTAACTGGTTGACTACTGCCTGTAGACCTTGACTCGAAACACAGCTGTGTATGATGCCGTCCTCGGCACTTGCGGCAGCTGCTCTCCGATGAACATTCTTTCGCCATGTGACCACGACGCAGACAGTTTCGGCAGAGTTGATTGCGTCGAACTACTTGCTCCTTCTCGTCAACAGCCATATTTGCAAATTCGCTGCACTGATACAGGGAGTGTTGACTTGAACACGCTGGACATTTGCGCGACCCCTGCTGTATAGCACCGTGATTTCCTGAACGTGGAGGGTTGGGTACATAATTTTACAATTTGTTGCGATCGTAGAGCCTTATAAGTTTTTAAAATACTGAATTTTGTTGTTGTTTCTCAATTGAGGAGGGAGGTGCTTATTTTCCGGAATTCTGCATTTAATATAAAATGAAGTAATTTTTTTTTCAACAAATGAAATTAACAATACCGGTATTAATTTTGTTATCATACAGCTGCTTATATGAAACCGAAAACACAGATGAAAACATTGTTGTGCATCCGGGAAAACCCCGGGAATTTAATTTCTTAATTCCAGTATGGCCATGAATGTTGAATGGAATATTACTTAAAGGCTTGCAAAGGGGTTAAAGTCTAGAGTTCCCATAACTCCTCCAGAACATCTCTGAAATATTAGATTCGTTTGATTATTTTCTTTATGAAAATCAAGGCATCAAATTTAAACTATGGGAAGCTCTATAGCACTGATGAAATCGTCCGTTAGTAAATATTTAATTTCCGGAATATCAAGAACGTGTTCTTCAATGTCTATGCCTTTTAAAAAGAAGCCGTAAAGTTAATTTACAAAAAAATATCATGATTTAAACATCTGTATTTTCACCCAGTGGTATTAATATTAGTTTTTTTTCCTAGATTTTGCTATAGAAAAATTGTAAAATTGCAAAAAAAAATTAGATTTGAAATCCACAAACCAAAAAACACGATCCGCAAAGTTCAATGCCTATTAAATATTTCACGTTTCGCGAGTGTTCTGCAAAGCTGTGTACGTGTGCGCATATTAATAATCCAGAACCGAGTTGCGGATATGCAATTAAATCTGACATTTTACTTCTGAGTGAATCGTTCCGTATACCATAATCACGCTCCGATTAAGTCACACCGAAAACAACGCGCATACATATCCTGGCCTAGTTTTGTTCGGCAAAAAATTAACACATCTATTCGTGGATCCAACAACTTCCAACTGGTAGGCACAACATTGTAAACCATGTTACGAAACGTATTAAATATCATCTTGACGCAGAAAATAATAAGCCAAGGAAAAAGAAACAAAACACACAACCAAAGCCCACCAATCGCTTGCCAGTGTGTTAGGTTAGTTCGTTGGGTTGTTTCGGACCCCAACTGGAAACCAACATCAACAACAATGCAATTATCATGTTTGCACACTGTGCCTGAGGAACAAACAATGCGGCTCATTCACTCCAGAGTGTTCACTCATCGTGAATGAACGCGTAGTCCGCTCTCTCACTCTCAATCACTCTCTCTCTCATCAATCGGCAAGAGGAAAAAAGTGCCTGGCGCAACTCGAGCGAGCCTACGGTGCAGCACACTGTGCCAGACCGGAGTGAACCGTGCACTGGACCGGATCGTCTTTTGCCAGTGTCCGTCGTCGTAGTTGAACCGCACGTGCGACCAGTTTGTGAAAACATTTCTCGACATTCGCGTTCCATCAACTTTCCACGTCCGTCGGCTGGGACGGTTATTATAGGAATTTGGCAAGGTTGCTGATCCTCATTGACGACCGCAGTTGTGGCCATAACAACTAGCGATCGACAAATGTGAGCAGAAGGAGCTGACGTCTACACATAGGTTTTCAACCCAGGAAGGCGTGAAGGAAACGGGTAGTAGGGGTAGAGGAAATAGGTATAGTGAAACTTGTTTTGCACTGTGGCTGGAGAGAAACATCAACGAAAGAGGAAGTGATCGAAGAAAAATCGCTGCTGTCGAGCGAGAGTGAAAGTGATTTCAGTGAAAAGAGGAAAGGTCATCTCCCTGCTGTTGTTGGCTGGGAACGGCAAATGACTGCCGCCGAGCTTGTCGTTGCAGTGCTGCAAACTCTGGCCGTGCTGGAAGAGAAGAATGTGAATGTTTGGTGGAATGTTATGCTGCTGGAAAATTGCTTCGAAGAGTGCAATTATTTTGACGGTGTTTTAGACATAGAGAGTGCACTGGGCAACAGGTGTGATCTTCGGTGCTGCAGTGTGGGAAAAAGAGGACCCCCCCCTGGTGGTGCATCGGTGCATGTTAGGTAACGGATGCTGGGGAGATGATTTGGTGACGTGTGAACAGATTTGCTTTTTCGACGAAGGGACAAATATATTGTCAGCAAGAATATACAGCAAATGTTGTTTTGAATGTGGTTTAAATTTTAACTAATTGTAAGTACTATTCAACAATTGAACTAAGTTGCTTTCTAATCAATCTACTAAGAAAAAGTGTAGATTTAACCATCTTGGGCAGTATATTTTGTATCGTCGAGACATCATAGGAGCTTAGAAACATTTGAAATGATCCGGTTTGAATTGCGTACACAGGAATAATTTAACAACAAATATTTTCTTCAATAGGACAGTTCTACTAATTCGTGTGATGAAGATTCTATAAAATAACATTGAACCACAGATAGGGGAAATGAAGTTTTTCAAAAGTAGAGGAAGTCCCCGGTGCCATTCTAGTCTGTCCTTTAATCAATTCTAGACCAAAATTTGAAAAGCGAAGAACAGCCCAAGTGTAAACTGTCCATATTTTGCCACATATAGAGAGAACAGTTCATAAACTACTCAATAAACATGAAAAAAAGAAGAAGACTTAATATCAAATCATCAAAAATGTTTCCTTTTACAAGGCGTTTTACCAATTTTCATCTCTATGATGCATCTGGTTGTTACGCCTTGCACTGAAACTACGAATTATAGTATCTTAATATCCTAAACATACTAATTATGTAGTATATAGTCACACCCGCTTCATTTGAAATGCATAACGTATAAATAACAAACAAAAAGAAGACCAAAAAAAAATCGCCGTGCGTAATTACACTCTCACAGAATATTTGACAGAAGAGCCAAAGTGTAACAACGAACAAAGAAATCCCGAGGGTGTATTTACACGGCGTGTCACCAGTGTTGGCAGTTCAGAGGGTGGAAGATCAGGAGGTAACAACACGTATGAAATTATCAGGGCGTATGATGTTTACTTCTCAATTTCACGGCAAAAATCTAAAAATTTCCCGTATAAAATAAAAATTTAGAATTTTGTAACAAACTGTTACATTCTACAACACAGTATTATATCGACATACTACATAGTGGTGATAGAACTTTGAAAATAATTAATTTTATTTTTTCTAGGTAGGGGAAATAGATGTAATGTCGGCCTAAATGCCCCTAATTTGGGCCCATACATAAATTCAGCAATCGACTAAATTTTCAAAAACTACCAAAAATATCCATCTAGATAAAATTGATAAATAGCAGATTTTTAGCGATGGGCCCAATTTTAGATCCATAGGCCAATATTAGAGCGCCATTTCCCCGACATCCTTATTTTTCACTTCGACGATTTCATCACATAGTTTAGGGTAGCCACTCATTCGAGAAATGCGGGAAAAAGTCGTGAATCGAAAAGCACCGGGTACAATGCGGAATATAGTCGGGAATTCCAATACAAAATCAGGGAATCTGAGAATGCGCATTAGTTTGCAGTGCACAGTGGTCGGAGATGGAAAAATCACGAACTTAATTGAATTGTGTATAAACTATTGACTTGATCAAAAAAGCGTTTTGAGAGGAATAGTTCTCATAAGTATCGTCTGCAATCCTAAATACAATTTCAAACATTTATCGTGGCCTAATATGAAAAAAAAATTAAAAACCTAACTTTTTCCCCTAAAGAGATAGAAAGATACTTTCTTGGGCAGTCTAATAGTTTTGAAGATATAGACCGTTTTCTATGGTTACCCCTTTAAATTTAGTTTTAGTTTTAATTTAATAATGTTCTAAAAGAATGTAAACCAAGTGAAACTACATGTTTTTGCTGAAGACAGTATATGGATTCTATGTGCATTCCTTGCTAAGTTATAGCACTTTTTACCTTAATTTTTCCCTATTTTGACTGCATATAGGGGAGAAGGTCACACAATATCAACTACTCCTTTTAAATCTTAGACTTTGTACTACAAAGTAGTGAAGGTCTGGTTAGCGCCAATTCATAAATGAGTGAATAGGGTCACGTTGACTGGGTGTTTTTCCGTTGACTGAGTGTTTTTCCATTTTCAATAAAAAAAAACAAGCCAACTGCTAATTTAAATGTGGTTTGTGGAATTGAACTTTAACCAGTTTAACTCATTTTTATATAGGAAATGGCAAAACACGCAAACATTCAACATGATCCTATTTAGTCATTTATGAATAAGTGCTTAACCAACCTTCACTACTTTGTAGTACAAAGTCTAAAGTTTAAAAAGATAAATTGATATTATGTCCCGGTTTGCCACCTTCTAACCTATACACTGTCAAAAATAGGGTAACATAAAGTTAAAAAGTGTTATAACTTTGCAAGGAATGTATACAGCCACATACTGTCTTCAGCAAAAACATAAAATGTTGCTTTGTTCATATTTGTCTAGAACATTATTTGCTTGAAAAAATATAATATAAAAAGGTAATAATCAAAACTAAATTTAAAGGAGTAACCATTGAAAACGGCTCAAATCTCTAAAACTAATAGTCATAAAAAATTGGTGTTTTCAACAAAGTTTCACATTTTGAGTAGTTCTATAACTTTGCGCCAGAAAGTATCCTCTTATCTCTTTAGGAGAAAAAGTTAGGTTTTTTCCTTGTTTTCATAGTAGGTATGATATTTTTTTGAAATTGTAGGATTACGGGCGATACTTTTGTGAACGATTCCTCTGAAGACACTTGTTTGATTAAGTCAATAGCTTATACACAATTCAATTAAGTTCGTGATTTTGCCATCTCCGACCACTGTGCAGTGGTTTCAAACATTCACTCAGGGAATTGGAACTTATCATGGGGAAAATACATTTAAAGGATTTCGTGGAATTTATAGGACATTTATATTTAGTTACGGCATGATAAGCTGTATGAACGTAGCACCTACAACGGTTAAACATTCTAATAAAAATATTAGATGTTGCTTATAAATAACTGAATTCGATACCCCAATCATCAACAAACTTTAGCCACATGTACAGATCCAATGATCCCCAAGTATAGTGCAGATTTTCTACATTTTATATGACTTTTTGTAAGTTTCATTAATCAACTTGTTATGCATAGTTTTGTTTTAATTATGACCATAATTATGTTTCATAATGAATTGTGGAATTCAGTTTGATGTGTTCTAAGAAGCTTAAAGCATATTGTTTTAGGCTAGAGGAGCCTTTTTTAATATAAATTGTTTTATTTTTACAGGCTCAATCGAATAAGCTTTACAGAGCCTAGTTATCACTTTCATTATACATGAGCTATAGGAGACTTGGATAATTTAAAAAAGATTCTATGAACAGTGCAAAATTTCTCATGAAAGTCATCCTCTAGAAACTTTTAAAACTCTTTAAGACGAATGTTGTGTAGGGAAATTTGTTGTCTGTATCTCTTCTAATAAAAAAGATATACCCAAATATATTACAAAATGAATAAATTCGAATTGATTTTATACGAGTTTAAAAAAAATAACATACCTCCAATTTTTTTCATATTATTTAGAATAACATGCGAACTTTCAAATGCCGTATAAAAACTTTATTTTAGTTTGCCCCAACCAGAGATATTACCATTTGAAAAATGCATATTTTTAGTACAAAAACGTCAATAACTCTTGATCGGCGAAAGGTATTGACAAGTTTTCTGCAGCAAAAATTTGCGCCTTCTAAAGATCTAAAAGTCATTTGAAGACACCTTTGCTGAGAAATTTGAAATAAGAAAACTAGCGCAAAATAAATGTTTTTTTAAGCGCCACCCTAACTCAATTCAAGAAAATAGCTCTAAATCGGCCAAGTTGTTTTCAACAAAGTTGCTTGAAATTAGCTCAGCTATAACTTTGCCAATGAGTGTATACCTTAATTTATTCAAACATAAAAGTTAGATTTTTGATTTTAATGATAATAAGAACCACCCTAGAATTCTTTGTCATAAAAATGAGAGTCTAGCTATAAGGAACAACTTTGTAGAAGAGACTTTTAGTCTAAAGTTTCAATTTCAGGCTCAAAACATATCATTCCACCTAAATCTGCATTCTGGACCACTGTGCAGTGGCTCAAGGAAATGTTAATACATTTTTGGGGAAACTTATTCAAATCACTAAAAAATTTACATAGAATTTGAGCTTAATTGACTGACTCGGTAAAGTAAAACTCTCATTTCGAATGAAGGTAGTAAATTGGATTGGACAATTTGCAATCTTCATCAGTGTCAATCCCACAAAATAGCGGCACCGGTGGTGTAGTGGTAAGCGTGATTGCCTCTCACCCCAGCAGGTCTGGGTTCAATCCCAGTCGACGCCGGCGGGATGTTCTGAGGTGTGGTAGATAGAGTTGGTGTGGAATAATAATAATGAAATAAATAAAAACTTGAGAGGTGAGTCAAGTAATGAAACACTCAATTTGAGTTAAACTAAATTAGAGTGGAGCGTGGCAGAAGTGATAATAGAGAGATGCGAACAAAATCTCGTGCTTAGTGAGGGGAAATTCTGACACAGCACGGAGGTATAAAAACGAGCTACCTAAGCTCGTAGAGGTGATTCTTGTAACTAACTTTGGAAGCAACGGAGACCAAACAGCAGCAGTAGCAGCAGCAGCAGGAGCATCAGCAGCAGGAGCATCAGCAGCAGGAGCATCAGCA